ATTAGGTGACCAAAGTATCTGAGCTTGAGCTTCATTATCAATCCTTCCAATGAGCAGTCATCCTTCCTCCTGCTTTACATCACAGGCTACTGCATCAAATGAAGTCGATGGAGCCGCGCTAAAACTTAGGTTAGTGTTTTTCAACCTTGGCAACTTTAAGATATGTGGTGGCTGGGGAATTCTGGAAGTCGAAGTCCACACATCTTAAAGCTGCCAAGGTTGAAAAACACTTACTTAGGTTATTAACAATCTGTTAGTTTCAAAGTGCCACAAGTCTTTTTGCTACAACAGAAAAACCTGCCCCTCCAATAAACGAAGTTGAGAAAAGCTTCACCTGTGGAGTTTCTGCCTGCGACTGAAGCCCAGAATGCGAAAGAGCCGAGATGACCGAAAAGGAACGGAAGGGATGCTTCGTAGAGCAGCGGGAATAAGACGCCCAGCGCGGTGACTCAGCAGAAGACAACCGCTTTGGCGGGAAGAACCAGCCAGTCTGGTGACAATGAGCGGACGAGGAACCTGGCCAGCTCCGCACTTAGGCGGTTCTGCGCAAAAGGAGCGGCGGAAAGAAAATTTCAAACATTCCGTTTGCCCCCACACAAATCCCCCAACCTCCCCTTAAGCGTGTGAGCGAAAATAAAGGAGTGACCCGGATGTTTAAGCGACTTACCAAGGCCGATTCCTGATGGGGAAGGTTTGGTATTCGTGCGCGTGCGCCAGCCTGTGTCTTCTCGTTTGGCTACGCGCGCAAAACATGAGTGGATGGAATTGTGAGGAGCGGCCACAGAGAACTCTCGGTCCTTCAACGCATGCGCAACGGTACCGTCACTTCCTGTTGTTTCTATGTTCACTTCCGGCCGTGGCTCGTTTGACTGATTGGGTGCGTTTTGTCGGGGTAAGTTGGTTCGTTCAACCTGAGGGAGAGGAATGGAGGCTTTTATTTTCGTTGGGATGAATTGGGTTGCCTTCTATTTTGGGACCCCAGTTATGTCTTAGTTCTCTCTCGCCTTCCCCGTCAAGGCAGTTGCGTACCGAAGAGGCGAAAGTAAGGTCTGGGCCTCTTCTTCTTCAGCTACGTCATTTGTACTAATTTGTGCACTGTCGGATTTCTTATTTAATACATAGCCCGACTTCTGGGTCGTCCGGAACCGCGGAAACATTCCCTGCTTGGGTCGCCGAAACGGGTCTCCTTGCTGCTAAAAAGTGACCGGGAGTTTCATGGCGCCTTAAAGGCGAACACGTTTTCACCCTTATCTTCTGTAGTGACTCAACATTAAAAGCCTTGGTCACATTACACGTGCAGAATTTCCCAACGCCGAAATTATCCTGGAAGTCACACAGTAATTAGGCTGTATAATGTTAGTGTTTTTTAATAGTGCATTTATTTCATTTCCAATCTGCCCTTCCTATGAACATATAGATTATACATACCCACATCATATTGTATCTTCACAGCACACATACACCCCCCCCCCCCCGCAGAGAGTGTTACAGTTGTTTAATGAGTATTAAAAGATTTGAAGCTGGTTCTCCCTGCCCTTAATGAAGGACTCTGACAGGTCCACCACACAGGAAGGAATTCAGACAGAAGTCTTAGTTCTGAATACAGGTAGTCCTCGTTTAACAACTGCCTTGGATAATAACCATTTGCAAATACAACAGTAATAAATGGTAATAAGCGGTAGTAAAAAAATCATTTTCTGAGCAATGTGCACACTTACTGCATCTGACAAGGCACACCAGAGTGCAAGTAACGTTGGCATTGTTGCATGAGAGAACTTTATCTAAATGAGACAGCAGCAACCAGTGATCTTTGCAGTATCTCTCTCTGTCACATGGTTTGCTTAGCGACCATTTTACTGGAACCAATTGCAGTGGCTAAACGAGGACTACCTGTACATATTTATAGGTGCTGCTGCTGCTTTTTTGTCAAACTGAATTTCCAATGTATGCTGGCTCCATGCAGAAATAGATTCTTATCAAATGTATACTGAAATTCATTATTTTAGACACATCAGATAAAGTAGACCAGTTGTTTTTGACATTATGCTGTCAAATATATGCACATAGTTTGTTTACCTTGCCCTGTTTCAAGTGGTCTTCTCATGTATGTTGACCAGAATTACTTGTCTTTGTCTAACAAATGCTGTGAATCTAACTTTATAGTTGAATTCTAACTCACTTGCATATCCAAAGAGGCATTTAAGGAAGATGAAATGTATTTTTGTAACAATGTAGTTCATATGAAGTAACAGGTGCACTTTTTGCAGCTTGAATAATCCATATATCATAGATTTTGAAATCCATAAAAATACAAGTACAGTAGTTAAAAGCTGCTTTAAGTACTTAATCTTAATCTGTTTAAAGTACTTAATTTTTGTCTAAGAGGCATTCTCCAGATTATAGGCCTGAAGTAAAGGCACGCATACTTTAAGTTGAGGAAGTTGTGTTCTCATTAGTCAGTGGTAAGTTTGCTGCCTAAAGGAGTGAAATCCCTGAAACAGAATGTGGATCCTTGAAGAAGTTACCGAAAAGATGATGTGTATTGAAAGGTGACATGAATTGGTGCCTATAGTTATCTCCTTTTTTCTAAGTATAAAGGTTGTTTTGAAATGGGCCCCAGAATTAATATCTTCCTTATGAAATGTTATAATTTTCTTCTGCCAGATATTCAGTAAGATTTTTTCTGATCCTGTAAAGCAAGGTTCTTCTATTGCTCTGAGCTTTCAGATAATATTCTGCATTGTTATGATAATTCAGTTCAGTCCTTTTCAGATCCTCAGTCTTATTAGCCTTATTTATTATTTGCGTATATCACAGAAATTCTAAAAAACATATGATGTTTATCAGCAAAAATATAGTAGTATTATAGCAGTAGCCCTACCAGGTAAACCAGACAGGAAACATGACCAGATGAGCTACTTCTACTACATTGATAGGCTCCATTAACAGAATCTTGCAAGTCTGAAAGCACAAATCTCCTGCTGTCCCTGTTTACTGCCTGATCAATTAGGGCGGGTCCTTTCTAAGTTTCTTTCTGTCCCCATTACTCAGTTGGGGGCTCCTCCCCCTTTTATCAGATTATTCCCTAGGTAGCATCTCTCCTTCGCCCCCTCCCCTGTCTTCCAAGGTCATTCTCACATTCCATTACACAATCATTATGTTTACTTTCAAATTGCATGAACTAATTGCTTGATTTCTGCGATGCTTGTGAACTCTATTTGTGAATTTACATCCATAGTTTTATATAAGACAATTCACTTTGTGCTATGGTATTTGATACTAATAGTTGTATACAGTATGTATAAATAGTGTATTTCTTGCAAAGAAGATTTAAAATTAGAATAAATTGGATAGAGCAGAGTTAAACTGAAATGATAGAACATGATAAATCTTATTGATTTCCTGTAGTAACCTTATAGTTACTTTATTATTACATAATGGAATATACATCTTTGGATGGAAGTACTAAATAAGTAAATCATAGATATATGTGCCCTTATCAGTTCAGCAGATTAAATACGGATTTTGATATACTCCTTTCTGGAATCATTGCCATTTAAAAAAATGTACCAAAAGTACTTTGTGGATGCCATTTTGTATGGGTGGATTTCACTGTACTTTGTTGAAGCCTCTCAATCAAATGAATTTTATTCTGTCCCACTTATGCTGTTAATATGACATAGACAGGTTCAGTTTCCTGTGATGTATCCAATCTGTTGTTCATAACTACTCTCATCATAGGAAGTATCTGTCCTATGTGTATAGTATGATATTTCAGTTTTAGTTGAAAGACATTTGTTACAGAGGAATGTTAAATAAAGCACACTTAGTTGTGATCATGCACTGAATCTAAAAGTTCTAATAGCTTAAATAAGAGGAGTCTCTTGGATTGGCTAGAATTTGCCTTAGTTATATCTAGATTGGATTACAGTAGTATTATTTTGGAAGCCTCCTTTAATAGAATTTGGAGGCTTCAGCTGATTCCAAATATAGCCACTAGGCTATTGGCAGAAGGAAAATGAAATGTTAATGTAACATGTACCCTACATTATTTGCACTGGTTAACCAAGTGTTTTTCAGATTCAGTGTAAAGATAATTGGACAATTTTAGATCTGTTTTTAGAAAAAAAATATTCAGGGGAGCCCTTTATTATTACTCTTTAATTTTGTTGGTATAATTTTAAGGGGTTTTTTTTTCTAGTATGTTGTTTGACATTTGTCTGTGCCAGACTTCTCCAACTTGTATTTATATGTTTATTTTATTTATTTATTTAAATGATTTGTATGGCTGCCCATCTTAAAGCATAATTCTGAGCAGCTGTAATGGACTGTGAGAATAACCTTGGGAGAAAAGAGGAGGAGGAGCTGCAGCCTAGATAGTGGTCAGACAAAAGATACCTGTAATGGAAGACATAGACAAGGAGGAGACTGGTATGAGAGATCAAGGCTGTCAGGAGGGAGGGGTGCATTCCAGCGGAAGGGGCAAGGCAAGCACTTTCTCAGCCCCCAGCAGGACCATGAGAAGAAGAAGAGGCTGAGGTTAGCCCCTCCCTAGACTCTCACAGGGTATATCCACTAGTAGTTTTAGGATAGGTTTAGTCTGGCAAGATTCTGTCTATAGTGTGTAAGCAATAAAAGAACTACATTGGACTGTACTGTTTCATTGTTGTTCTTGGGCTGAACCTGACAGTACCTCAGCCCAGAGAAGGAATGGGGGCAGAGAAAGCATCTCAGAAGGGACCCTCCCTAGTTCTCCGGAATGTAAAGGCAAGGAAGGGGAGAAGTGCTTTCAGACTTGCAAGATTCTGTTACTGTAATCTTACAATGAAGGTAGTATTAGTACTCATGGTTTTGGTTTGTTGTCTGGACTACCTCAAATGACTGACAGTGGCTCACAATAACAATAAAACCCAGAACTATAAAAAATCATAAAACCAAGACAAAACCCAGTGCCTCAGTCATCCCCTTGGGATGCCCCACAGCCAACTCCAGACATCCTCACTGTGCTCCAATACACATCAAAAAGTAAAAAGCCAGTTCTTGATGGCCTTCTGAAAGGCTGAGAGAGTGGGAGCCTGCTGGATAACCAGCAGGAAGGAGTTCCATAAGGCAGGGGCAGCCATGGAAAAGGCATGGTTTCAAGGTCCCACTAGATGGCAATATTTCAGGGAAGGGAGCTGGAGCATGCCTACCCTATCCAATCTGGTAGGATGGGCAGATATTCTCAGGGAGAGGTGGTCCCACAAATAACCTGGACCTGTGCCATGTAGGGCTTAAAGGTGATAACCAGTACCTTAAATTGCACTGGGAAGGAAACTGGGAGCCAGTGCAGCTCACACAACAGAGGTGTAATGTGGGCAAACCTAGAAACACCAAATGCTGTGGGCGCTGCTTCGTTCTGGACAACTTGTAGCTTCTGAGTGGTCTTCGGGGCAGCCTCACGTAAAGTGTATTGCAATAATCCAAATGGGAAGTGACTAAGGCATGAGTGACTGAGCAATACCTCCCGGTCCAGGAAAGGGTGCAGTTGTCACGCAAGTTGAATCTGTACAAAGACCCCACTAGCCACAGCTGCCACCTGCTCATTGAGCAGGAGCTGTGAGTCCAGGAGAACCCCCAAATCGTGCACCAGCTCAGTCTGGGGAAGTGCAAGTCTGTGGGGGGTGGGGAAAAACCCAAAGCCACTCTCTCGCCAGGGTTGAGTCAAAGTCACTTCCTCCCCATCCAGACCCTCACAGCCTCCAGACAGTCAGCACCGCAACAGCATCACCTGCCCAGCCAGGGGTTATGATGTATAGCTAGGTATCATCAGCATACTGATGATATCGTACCCTGTCCTGTCAAATGACCTTACCCAGTTGTTTCATGTAGATGTTAAAAGAGGAAAGGCAAGAGACCTGAGCCCTGAGGCACCCCATACTGCAGGGGCCTAGGGCTCAACCTCTCCCCCCCCCGCAAGTACTGACTGAAACCGGCCACAGAGAAGGGAGGAGAACCACTGCAAAAAAATGGGTCCAAATCCCAGCCCCCCAAACTTGTCCCGAAAGATACCATCGGTGATGATTTTTAAAGATGCTGAGAG